AATTCTTGTGATTCCTGCATGGGTAAAGTAGCTCTTCACAATGGCTCTCTGACAGGAGAGAGAGCGCAAAGAGGGACGTTTGATTCTAAAAGATGTGTAAATGTGTCCCTGATTCTCATCTTAGCGCTCTGTTAGATAACAGGCCGCTGCATACGCTCCTGTCTCAGAGCGGTACAGCCAGAGCACCAGCTGCTTTTAATCAGTAATTACTGAGACTGGCTGATAGTTTAACACTAGAAATAATGATTAATAAGGCCACATATAGAGAGAGGTTCTTTTATGCACAATGACAGGTTCTCAGCATAAATTATTTTGGAAATTGTGTAAAATGTAAGAAATGAACAGAGTCAAAATGGGCAGTAGCGATATTTCAAAAACTGAATAAAAAAGAAAGAAAATATTTTGACTGTCACAAATGACTGATTATTCAAATATTTCTCTTTGATGATAGAAAGGTTCTTTAGATAATACGTTTATCATAAAGGTTTACACACTATTTTTTTTTTCAACTTTGTTCTGTCTTATTTTCTGTATGCATTTGCCTACTAAAGTTAATTATTAAAAGCACTAAATTAAAACAACAGATATTTCTAAAAATCACTGAAAAACATCATTTTCTCTGTAATATGTCAGAGCTGTGCCAGTGCAGATTGTGATGATGATTGTTTCAATTAATAATTCCATGCAGGCCTAAAATGATAAATGCACAAACTGTATTTTTTTATTAACAAATAAATAAACAAAATGCAAAAAAAAATAGTAACTGATCAAATTATGTAGCTAAACTGTTTAATATTTGTTTCAAGTAATTAATATATATATATATTTTTTTTTTTGAAGACCTTTTTTGAAAGAACTTCTATATTGTTTAGTGCTAACTGAACATACTGGGAAACAAAAGAAAAATCTAGTTGAAAATAAGTAGAAATAGTGACCTGTTACTGTCTCAGACATGACACTAAACACTTGTTTCACTCCCAAAATATTCACATTTAATTAAAAAATATCATAAGCAGTAGTAAATGTACCAAAAGTTTTAGAGTGAATGATAAAGAGTGTTTTCTGATCTTTATGACAGGCTTTATGTTTTTAAGTCACTGTATATGGCTCTGGTCAACTGTCAGAGTCTCAAGACGGCTGTTGAACTGTTGCGCCAGTGGATGCCTGTGTTTCAGCATTGTAGAACTCAGCTCAGGGGGTCCTACAAAAGACATACTGTAAAACAGGCACCCGCCATATGACAGCCATGACATGAACAATAAATATGTATTTCTCGCCGGCACCAGTATGGAATGAAAGATTAAATGCAAAGAACCCCTTTTAATCCAGTGCCAGGTTCCCTTTTCCCTCCATGTCTCTGCTGAAATACACAGGAAATAAACACACACACACACACACACACTGCTGTCTGGCACTGTTTGTGGCTCTGCACTCCAAATTCAACACACATACACACACACACACACACTTGGGTGTTATTGTGGAGGTCCACATATATCTATCCATCTGTCTATCTTGACATTCATTCATCCACAGATATTTTCTCTCTGAGACATGATGACATGTAAAAAAACGAAATGGAGAATTGTGCTTGAGGTGATCTGGAGGTTCTGACAGCCTGTCTCAGTCTGAGGTTTGTTTATGCTAGTTAAAATGTGGTTATATTACAAAGTCCCTTTTGATTTGCTGCATTACGATAGATTTTAGAGATCAAGGCCCTGAAATATATGTTGTGCAATGAAGATGCCCGTGTGAGGACCCTCTATTGAAGAGGCCTGTCTAGGCCTGTCTTCAGAGCCACCATTTACTCCCTGTGATTGATGTCAGCTATTCAGCATGTAAGTGGTGGCTTCACACCTCTTTCACGGCTTTTAATTTTAAATGACCATCTCATTTTTTCAATCCTTTTTACTACCTCCTTTCAGTGCCTCTTGAAAGTTGAGATACATGTACAAAAAGAGGAAATAATAATGCTAGGTGCCTTTTTTGAATTACAGAGTGCCTAGAGAGCAGAGCCCAATATTCAAGTATCCTTTCATTCAGTCATAATAGGCTAAAGTGTTTACATATCTAAGGGCTAAGGGCCAATCAGTGTCAAAATTATGCTAGAAGGGAAATGGTGTAATGCATTTTTAGTATTAAAGAAAAGTAAAACTGCTCACAAAAACAATTTGTACACGTATTGTACCTACACCTACACACGCATATGTTTTTCTGTAGAACTAAACATCATAATTATGCACCTTTTGTAAGTCAATTTCAAACAATGCAGAGTTAAAATAATCTCCGCGTAGTTTTAGTTGTAAGCACCTTGTTCCCGTTTTAATCATGCGATAAACATGCAATTATTAAAACAAAAGGCACCTATTGAAAAGTAATCGCCGCTCTTAATAAGGCAAACTTCCACGCGTTAATGGCCCTGCCTTTACGCATTTATTCCTGTGATAAGCTTTGACCATTGATAGCCTTTTATTGTGTCATTTGCGTCTATCATATAGCGAGTCTCTCAGCCTTTTTGACTCCCATATCCAAAGTCCACTTCATGCAGGCGAAGATTGTTTGTACTCGTCCTTCTGCTGTAAAGCTGCTTGTTTTAAACCTCTTTTTTATCACACAAAATAGTAGTCGATAGATTAATTCCCGTGATTCCGATTTAAAAAGGATATTAAATTAAAAAGGTAGAGCCGATGGAACAATTAAATAAGAAATATGTTTGGATGTTCAGTTTAGTTTTTTTGTGTAATTTTTAGTGTTTAGAATACGTTACATAAAATATTTTAAATATAACAAATTTAAATCATATAACTAGCCTAATATATCTATTTAATATGCCTATTATAATACTGAAATAAATAAATAAATCAAATATACTTGCCATTAAAAGTTTGCTGAGGCCCCCTAGTGGGTCCAGGGCTCCTGATTGAGAACCACTGGTCTAAAAGTCTGTGGCAGGTTCATGAGTGAGTATAGCCAATTTTAATACATTTTTGTTCTGGTCAATCATTATATGCTTATAGTTTATCATTACTGGATGTAGCAATTCCATAAATCTAAATCGATTTTTTTTTATACACGATGGGTACAGTGAGTAAACACAATATGACTGCGTTATTCATAGTTTAGAAATAGTCAGCCGTGCCATGCCACGGCTTCACTGCCTGAATATCCTCCGGTTTTCCAATAAACATTCAAACATTATAAATGTGCGATATTGGTGAAAAATTGAATAGCCAATGTCACCAAGCAGCATCTTCCTTCATGCAAATTTCATGTGATCAAGGAATGTAATTGCAATAAGTATGTTTTAGAGCTGGAGAATAGGGCCGCTAATGGTCGTTATCTTATCACAGCGAGGGTCATATGTGCATTGAGCGCGTGCTTATTGGAGGTGTTGTAAATTAACACGCGCGATTTCCTCCCTACCGGGAATCTGCTCGTGATGGAGTAAACACGCTAATCTGCTCAGCATTATCTCCCGCGGACAGAGCGCGACAGTCGTGTCAGACCGACCGTTCTGCAAATAACATGCACTATTAAGCAATTTAAGATATAGTCCTTGATAATGCAGCGGAATCTGTGGACATCAGTTCAGGGGTTTTGCACCATGTTATTTAGTGCCTCATTTGAAAGAGAAATAAACAGGAAAATATATACTAGGCGTCAGGGAGTGCAGTAGCCTAATATTTTGTTTCAACGTCTGTAAGTCAGTGGTTTTGAATTACGTGTCTCAGACTTTGATGTAGCAGTCTACCGTTATATTCATATGCTACAAATAGATTTAGTTCAGAAACCGTTTAAATAAACAGTGTAATTTAATTTCGAGTACAAATATATAGAATAAACAGACATTTATTATTTTGTGCATTTTATTGGGGCATATTTTCGCTTTAAATTGTCAACTTTAAACAATTAAATTCAAAAGATTAACATAAATGAATTAAAGTATTTGACTATATAATAACAGTGTCGGTAGTGTGTTATTGTCATTCTCACAATTACATTTTAGTGCAATTTTGTATATAGGCTTATATGATTCCAGTAAATATATTAGAAAGTATTACACGCTCCGTTCACACATGATGTTTTTATATTTGAACATAGCCTAGATAAAAAGCTCAGTGGATGTTATCAGAACCTGCTTATTCAAATGATAGGCTACTTGTCATTTAACACCTTTTAACATGATCGCAAATCAAATTATGAAGCAGACAACTAGACTGGACATTATACATTAACATTATGTTATAGATGACATTATATAGGCCTAGATTATAAACTAGACAAATGATACTCTCTTATTCCAAAATTGATTTTAATGCAAATCATTTATATTTTCACACAGAGACTTACGACTACTTCTGTCACCTCAGGAGGGTGGGGGACGTATGATTTCCCCTTCGTAGAGAATTTCTAATCGGTCACAAATTGGTTTAGCTGACTACAACACCTCCCGGTTTTAGGGATTGAAAAATTAATTGTTTGATAGAAGTGTCTGGTGATTTGAGGGCGAGTTGTTATAATAGGCTACATTTAAAAAATCAAAATAAGAACGAAGCTCACCTGCTTGAACTCAAAATCGGAGTTTGGAGAAGCGATGAAGTCGTTGTTCCACTCATCCACACAGACGCATTTTACGCATAAAGGCTACTTTACAGATATAGGGTATTATACGTAAAAAGCCCTATTTTCCTTTAAAAAGAGGAAATAAAAATACACATCAAATTATAAGTGTCTTTGCTGACAGAATTAATCTGATTGACTCATGCGGACAGCTCTTTAAAAACGCAGGCTGGAACTAAATTATTTGTTTCAAAAGTCAGCAAATAACTTAATCAAATTAATTCTCAATACACAGATCGGCGGTTTTCACGCCATTGTGTGCTAGCCCTAAGCCCAGCCAATCTCTTATTGGAGAAGTCATCCACAAATCCTTCAATGACGTCAGCGGGGTATAAAACTGAGCAGGAGGTTCAGCTCAGCCACAAACGAGTCATTGAATCTGTTGCGCTCGGTCACTCTTTCTTTCCAAAGGGGAAAACGCTCTGAGAATTCGCTTTTTTTGCGACTATGAGGGAAACCTGTGATTTTTAAAAGGACTACAAGAATATTTAAGTACTGTTGGCACAAAGTCTCAAACATCTTTTCGCTTGTGATGCCCGCTGGGATGTTTAGTATCGACAGCATCTTGGCAGGGAGACCCAGCTGCAAGGACTCGGTTCTGCTCCATCGGAATGCTCCGGTTGTGTTCTCCAACTTGACGGAATCCTTGTACACAGCAGCTGGCGATTTTAATGGACTGTATTCACACACCGGACCTCCAGCTCCTAACTTACAGTCGGTAAATGGAACCAGGATAGGCTACAACAACTACTACTATGGACAACTTCATGTCCAGGGGCCGACTGGACCAGCTTGCTGTGGCACAATACCAACTCTCGGCTCGCAACAGTGCCCGTGTATTCCTACAGGTATGTTACTTTTATTTATTTCCTTGTCTGGTTGATATATGTATAATTACATATACTGATTATTGTGGTGAATGTTTCAGTATTCTGTTAGTAAACTGTATGGGGAATTTCGTTCCACTTCTTTTTTTGGAGCGCAACTTAAAAATAAAGGTTCCAATTACAACCAAAATGGGTTTTACAGTCTGATGTCATTTTAAGGTTAATTTAGAAGAGTTATATTTTTGGTTTATTAGAAAGGCATCAAACCAGCACAATAATCTGACGAACCTATAATGTAACATTTACTTAAAAAAAAAAAAAAAAAATTAATAGCGTCACAAAAACACAACACACCCCAAAATGGTTCTTGATAAGAAGACTATTTGAAGAACTTAAGAGCCACTGGCTTCTCAGAAAAAAATAAAAAAAATAAATAAAAATACCGTTTTATACGAGTCCGTTACATTTTAAATATTTATCCATGTACTCAAATACATTGATTTGATTTTTAGGCTATGACAGCGCCGGCTCAGTACTTATTTCTCCAGTCCCACATCAGATGATGTCGTACATGAATGTGGGCACCTTATCCAGAACCGAACTACAGCTACTCAACCAGTTACACTGTCGGCGCAAGAGACGACACCGAACTATTTTCACCGACGAGCAACTGGAGGCACTGGAGAACCTTTTCCAAGAAACCAAATACCCTGATGTTGGCACAAGAGAGCAATTGGCACGAAAGGTGCACCTACGCGAAGAGAAAGTAGAGGTGAGTGAAATCAATGTATCGTTCACACTGTAAATGACAGAGTTCACGTTATATTATATTTACAAAAAGATGGCTGAAGTTCCTAGTAATGCAATACGTGTAGGCCTACTTAACCTATAATACTTTTTTGAAGCTGGCTATAATTTCACAGTGCTATTGCCATTACTATGTTAATTATTTAGTGGCCTAAGACGTTTGCATGTGGATATTTTATTCCATTTTTTGGTGAACAAATTATTTATCGAAGGCCACACAGTTTATACAAATGGTATTTTAGGAAGATACATAACTGTTAAAAAAAATAACTCCACTACAACTTTATGTGATGCATTTCTTAAAAATAAATAACTTTGACCAATAGTAGAAATTTCCGAAAATTGTGACGTTATAAATATAAATAAATTGCCTATGAATAAATACAAATAGGCTAAACGAAAAACTTTTTAGCAACTACAAAAGTTACATATAACCTTAGTCAGAATGCGCTTAGCTTGCAGGTAACAGTAGCAACAGTTCGTCTTCCATCAAATCAGTGTTGGCACTGTCATTATTTATCACTTTATTCTAGATGTGCATATTACAAAATCGTTAAGTGTGATGTCTATAACGTAGCTATTTAAGATATCTGACGAGTAGGCCTATAGGTCACGGTGTCGGGCGCCAAAGTACAATTTGGGCTACGTGAGACGAACCTCAACAGAAAATTACTGACAGAGATTTCTAACAACCTAAAAGTCAATGAATAATTAGCATACTGCATAAAATCAACTCGACCTTTCACGTGACGTGTTTTTTTCCCTCCATATCCTTGAAATTAAGCATTTTACCATTTTCTTCGCTTAGGTTTGGTTCAAAAACAGACGAGCAAAATGGAGAAGACAGAAAAGGTCGTCGTCAGAGGAATCAGAAAACTCACAGAAATGGAACAAATCCACGAAAACAACCACAGAGAAAATCGAGGAGGGAAAAAGTGACGTGGATTCTGACAGCTGATAAATAGAATATGAGACCGGAAAATCTTGCACAAATATGATTCGGACTTTATGTACATATTGTAAAGTACCATGAGTAGGAGTGAACATGTGTTGTCATGCTGTTGCACAGATGTATAGTAAATGTTACATTTAACAATGATATTGTTATTTATATTAATTTAAATTTACACAGACAAAATAATGTGGATTCTGGCCATAGTAATATTACCTGATATATACGAAACGTTTTTTTTTTTTAAGTCTTGTCGTATTAAGATATACATAAATAAGATGTTCTGGAGTGGGCTGTAACTGAAGACATGTACGATGGCAGGACGATACATTTTGACATTGATTAAATCAACGTTTTATGCCGCCTGAAAATAAAAAAGTACATAAGCAAATATTAAAGTAATATCTAAAATGTTCGATTTTTCGTATTTATTTAAAATATTGCAACTATTCTGTAAGAGCATTTCAATTCGTCGAGTCCTCTTAGAATTCGATGGTTATCAGTATTTGTTGAACCGCGGAAATTTGTAATTTAGTTGTGTAGTATAAATATTCTACATATAAGTAGTTCATAATATGTAGAGATATCTCATAATTTGTGAACTCGAGACAGTAGTTCGAGCTAATTGTCTCTTTAGGCCTATTCTATATTGTCTGACTATAATTTACCATTAGGTAAATAATAGATGGCACATTGACTGGGAACAAATTTATTAGAAAATTTTGCTTCACGTGAAAATGTCAGAGGATGTCTCTTTTTTTATCTCTTCTAAGTTTAAAATTATATATATAAGAGTTCAGATGCAAAAGCCTCTAAGTACGTGTGACGTTTTTCATTAAAATTAGCATTTCTTTCTGGCTACTATGTATAGGTTTCTATGTAAGAACTGGTACTTCTGAATGGGTTGAGGCTGGGATTTAGCGCATTTGAAGTGAAAGTACTTGATGAACATATACGATGTGCGGAGAGCATTCACTCAGTATCGTTATCTCGTTTTTGACCAAGATGGCTTTTAGAGGCTTTTGCATTGGAACTCTTCATATATATATATATATATATATATATATATAAATGGAGCTGAAAAATGTCATAATTGACCAGTTACGTCCAGGCCATGCTGATCTAATAATCATCAGAGGAATGACACGAAGTATAGCCTATTTAATGGTATAAAAAGCACGAAACCCAACTGTTAGTTTTAACCAAACAGAACCACTTTTAAAAAAAAAAAATTATTTATATGTATATAAATTATTCACACCTAAGCTATGTCTATCCCTATTTATAACCCATGTAAAATAGCTATATCAAACCCGACATCTCTGAGAAAAAATAATGACATCATTGGCCACATTATCTGTTGTTATTGTCCCTGGTGTTCAACGATAATTATTAGCTTATAGTAAAATGTGGTGAATTAAATTAATAAATTAAGCCAGCATAATAGTTTGTTTTATATTCTAAATACGAATGATTAAAAGTAACATTGTTTCACGACATTATGACGCAGTCAGTGTTGTGTTGTCAATATGCTCACACCTCCACTATGTGTAGCACTCAGTATGCCTGTATACACACACAGACACAGACACAGACACACACACACACACACACACACACCCCATTTCTTCCTTTCTTTTTCTTAGAGCCATTTAATCACACCGAAGGCAACTGAAATAACCGGAATTACAACTGTGGCAGTGTGATAACATTAAATTGTCGCTTCAACAAGTTGATAAAATGTTTACGATAATCTATGTCTGCCATTTGTAAATAGATTATTTTTAATTTAAGACAAATTTAGCCAAGTGGCAGGATTAGGGTCCATTATTTTACCCAAATGTCTCACACTTCTGTCTAATGGCATGCACTTGCTTTTTACAATTTAATGGCGAGATAAATTATTTTTTTCCAAAGTCAGTTTCATTTTTAACCAAATATGTAAAAATGTTGTCAGTGCCTTTTTATGTTTTAATAATAATAATAATAGTAATAATAATATATAACAATATTAATTATTCTTATTATAATTTTTGGCACTATTAAAATGCATTTTTTTCTGCCCTGAAAACAAGCTAATGATTTCCATGAAATAGAGAAGTCAAAATTCATTAACCGAACAAGCATTTCAGTTTCTGTGCTCTCTCCTGCTAATGGGCCATAACATCTATCCACATGAGGGTGTGCAAGAGGAATTAAATGAAAACTACAAATACAGACGTGCCTGTTTTCTTGTGTGTGAGGAATGGACAGGTATATTGCATACATATTTAAATGAATAATTACAGCTTAGTCTCTTTTAAAGGTATAAGCTACTTAAATATGATTTGTGAGGCTGGCAACATGCCAGTGTCTTGCCTGTAAGAGCACTCTTTTTTGGTTATATTGAAAATGTTCTCTTGATGAAACACAGATCTTGAGTCTTGAAGGAAAACAGTGTGAGCCGAATATTTATTTGTGTTTATGTGCTTATGCATTTGGGCTATTTATCATCAAAAATAAACATCCATACCCAGTCTGTATTGACTCAGGCCAGCGTGCTTTTCCAGACATGAAGCTGATTAAGTGAGATGTTTTTTACTAAACACTCCAGCCATCGAAGACATTGGTAGTTTCTTAACAATTTGTTATTCCTTCACAGTAAATAGTTACTGGAGTGATTTTAAATCACAGTCTGCCTCTCTGTGTACATTCAGTCTCCAGTTTTTCCTCCCCTCCCCTCCCCTCTCTTCTTTTTTTTTTTTTTTTAAAAATATTCCCCACCATTCTAAAACCACACTGAAAAAATAATACTATTAAACGTCTTCGGTGGCTTTTTAAAAACAGATTAAAGTAGGGTAGTGCAGTTATACTTAAAGATTTGGCAATAACACAAACCAAGAAACAAAGCATGTTGCACTAATAATCCTTCACATGTCTAGTGTGATTTATAAAGTGTTTCTTCACTGAGTGCCAGTGAGATATGCAAAGCACAGGACTGAGTCCATTAATCTCTGCTTTTCGTATTTCCCCTTTTTAGGGTGTAATTTAGTATTACAAAAATGTAATACACAGAGTTTTTTTCAAACCATTATTTCTTTGACCTTTTTATGCATAGTTCCCGGCACTTGGAAAAACATAGGTGGAGTCCAAGAAAAATTAAGCAGCGAGTCAAGTCCAGAAGTAGATAAATCTTTAGCCTCGTGCTTGTTTTCTAAGAAATGCTGCATATTTGCAGTTGTACATATGCTTTACGTTTCCCCTACATTTTCCCTCTTATATAATTAAAATCAGTACATGTTTTGATCTTAAAATTTTTTTACGCTTTCAATGAGAAAATGGCTGATGTTCTCAATTTTAATATCTGTGTAAATTTAGGTATTAATTGAATTAGACTGTGTTCTCTCACATACCTTTTTTTCTTAGAGATTTGACCAAATGAGTGACAGCTTTGGGTGGATTCCCCCATCTAAAGATAGAAACGGGTGTTGGCCATCCTCTGTGGTGCGTTTTGTGAAACATATAAAATGGCCTCCTAACACAGGAAGGAACGAAAGAAAGACAAATAATACATATTTTTACCGTCATAAACATTTTCCTGTATCATTACCACATTTCAGTGGGATGGCATGTGGTTTGTACTCTGCAAAACCCTAAAAAGCCCTACAATGCAACATCATGTTTTTAAAATGACAAGTTAAAGAAACAAGCACACTTCGCCACATATTTTTTATATAGTGAGCTTAGCACCTGAATAGGCTTTAGCAATTGCGGCCCTTCATTCTGTGGGTAATTACTAGCCCTATCACCACATTCATTCCAGCACACTAGCTACCAATTGCATTCGGTTAGCGTCCCTCCTCATCGAAACCACACGGCTGCTGAAAAGCAAGGGGGACCCCAGGTCAGGACCGCCAACTAGCAGCAGACACTTATCTCTCTGAGGTAAATCAGGTAATTGTACACTAAAGCCAAATTTTCTTCAGTTTTACAGGGCTCAGATCACATCTTTATGTTCTTGGGGCCCTTAAGGTTCAGCTCTTTAGAGAAGGCATAACGTTTTCCCTGACGCATCCTGCCAAAGCAAACAAACACAAGCAATATGAATGAGCTGTATCTATGGAAAATGTATGCATATGTGTGTGTGTGTGTACATTCATTTGTACGGTCCGCGCTAGTTTGCTGGGAAATCAGGAAGGGCCCATCATACGGCACTGCCCTGGCTTCAGTGCTGATTAGCGGTGTGCGCTAACCTCAGTCCTCCAGCAGGGTCTGCCTCTGGTGTGGGGTGAGCAGGGCACCCGCCTGTGGGTTAGTGGGAGGTGGAGTGCACACTTTTGACCCGCTGCAAAACTTTTGGCCCTGGTTCAAAACGGCCCCTGGGGAATGGCAGGAGTGCAAGTCCACACTGAACAGGCATAGGGCAGGTTTGCAGCACACTGGGAACACACGGCCTACAACACTCTCCAGATAGTTTAAGATCTCTAATGCACTCGCAAGGACGCTCAGATTAGCATGCGTGTTGTTCCGCAACCTTCGGGGCAATTCACTCTCTCAAAAGCATGCCACAAATGACAGGCTGTTGCTGAGACCCAACAGGGAAGTCGTTGTTTTGTGACCTCATAATGCGCCATTTGCCTTCCAGTTGGTGAGAGCTGAAAGTAAATAAAACAATGTGGGGATTAATGGCGGAATGATTCAAGTGCTCTGCTCGTCCACGACAGGGGAAATCGCAGGCGTTTACAAGAGATAAATCAGAATTATTTGCTGTATCAACAACACGGGCAGCTCAGATGCTGGATGATAGATCATGACTGAAAATGAAAAGCTAAGCTTGGGCTTAAAATGTCATTTTCGGCGACATGACAAAATAAAATAACATGCTGTTTGGGATATATTAAAGAGGTCTGTCCCAGTACAGTGTAAACATATTGAACACGTCGAGGACACATGATTGAAAAAATGATTTCCTAGAGTCGTTCTTTCCGGCCAGAAAATTACATAGCGCATATCATTTTACATCTGAA